ATAACAGATGCAAATTTTAATTAAAAAGGAAGCAAAGTATAAACAAGCACCTTTTATATCACTAAATTCTGTGTAACTTCAGCTTATTTCAGTAAATTCAAAGCGTGATATATGTTAACTGATGTTGGTATGTTACAAATAAAACATTTTACAAAAAGACAAAACGAGATCATTTAAAGCAAACGGCTCTCTAAATTAGATTTCCTGCTAACTCACTGCATGCTCCACAACACAATTCACAAATTCATAAACATTTGTAATACTACAATATACCTCTGTACTAGTAACAACAATATAAACATTTCACATAAAATAATATGCTACCATCCCTCTTGGAACATACAAATTTAAAGCAAAAGTTGATAAAAATATTTTATTTTAAATTGACAATTCAATGACTCGAGTAAAAAATATATTTTGCATATGATATTGTACATTTCTTTACAGGAAGTCATCACTCTCAAGCTCATTTATGCATAAGACAGAATTGCTGCTTCAATTCACAATGCTATTCCCATTCAGTTCCATACATAAAATGCCGTCCCACAACCCAGACACTAACATTAAAACAATAGTGGACTGAGTATAAAATAACAGCACCACATAAACTAATTCAGCACTTACTGATATGGCAGATCAGATTTACACAAAAATTACTATAGGCACTTGAGTGCTTTCTGCTGCCAAACACCTTCAAAATTGCACACTACAAATTCAAGCTTGCTGGGGTTAAGAATGTAAACTAATACCTTTCACAAACCACTTGAATAAAATTAACAAAGTTCCATAAGGCACTGAAAATGTTACCTGTTATCCTGCTGATTAAAAATTTTCACTCTGTTCAATACAATCATAAATGTACTAAAATAAATATAAAGTGATATTCTTATAAATATAACAAAGGACCTGCATACTTGGTGAGAAAGAAGAATATAACAAGATTAGTCCTAAATAAATTCTGTTTTCAGATTAGGAAAAAGTTGTTATTGGAGACAAAACTAAATCATTTAGCTATAAAATTCCATACAGAGATTTTTATTTGTGCTGTTGGCATGCATACTTTTAATGACAGCTCTCCTTCAATGTTGTTTTCATGTCAGAGCAACCCCCATTTATTACTGTGTGAAGATAGCAAATGAAAATACTGTAAATGCAGAAGTTATTTCAGCCATCTGAAGTATGAGGAATTGTGTTTTGATAATGTTTCACAACATACAAGCCCATGAAGAAAATGTTGAAAGACTATGCACATTAAGGCATAAAGGCAGATTCAAAGAGTTTCAGTTCATCACAATTTTATTTAGTGTGAAGCACAATTATGGTACTGCAGATAAATACTGAAGAACTGTGGGCTTAACACACAACCTATTTCACATCGTCATGTTCTTTCAGCATTGAGCAAACCATCAAAGAACACCAGTTTTCTTTAACCTTTGCAATACAGCAATGAAGTCAGAAGCTATTAGATTCAAGCATTCTACAATATATCCAAAGCTAATCAATATAATTTTAGGCAAGAACCTTCTCTGAAAGATGCTACTGTTATATGCACTCAGAAGTTTAAAGGCTACCATGCAGGTACTGATGATGACAGGGAGATGGAAAAGAACCAAGATAGGTTTCATACAATAACATCCTGTTAATACAAAGTTTTACAAAAATCAGACAATTAATACCTATAATATAAATTCTTGAATTATAAACAGGATGGATCAACAGACATACACAGCATACTAATGGAATCCAAACACTAAACTACAATACATCTAATTTGCCACATATAAATTGTAATCTTAGGCAATAAAAAATTAATTCAAATGAAACCAGGTCAGACTTTCAAAAAACATTGGTTATGACACCATACTGGGCAACCTGTCAGCCACCCCTTCATCTCGTGCTTGAAGGAATGAACAGCTTTGAACATGCATAGTTAAAAAGAAAATTATTTTTAACATAAAGGGTTATTTCGGGCTTTCACAGCAGTTCAGTGTTAATGTTGGTCCCGTTTTTGGACAACAATGCCACATAACAGCAAAACACCCTCATCTGGATGATTAAGGAACTGAGAGATTGCCTCAACCATCCACAGCCTACAGGCCCCACATCAAAATCAGAGACATATACAGTACCAAAGGAGCTTTGAAAACTTCCCCCTTTTAGTTGCTTCATTCATATTGGACAATGCATGATCACAAATACAAGAATCATGCTGCCACCACCTGCCGCAAAGCATCATCACCAAGTAACAGATCCAGCAGTATAGATATTGCACACTGTATGTTTCCTCATATGAACAGCTCATGTAGGAAGATGATCAAACAAACTCCATGGTTTTAGTCCGCATGAGCGACTGTCACATGTCAGCGAAGTTAGTGCCAACATTAGCAGCTAGAGGGGGCCACATGGTCAGTGCAACAACTCCCCATGCAGTTAATTTTGGTTTTCTAGACTGGAGCCACTACTTCCTTGAAATAGCTCCTGAATTAGTAGGAAGATAATATGTAATATAAATTCATGAGGCTGTGAAGGAAGCACTTCTGGCCTATTTTAAGTTTTTATTCCACAATTTGTCTGGAAGCAGTGAGGAAACCTATAAAATCCTTAAGGCAGCCAACCTCTGGGCAGGAATTATACCTGGGGCCTCCAAATATGAACCATCAGATGGTTAACTTGTTAGATCTAACAATAAAATGAGTTCCTTTCAATAATGAAGATTTTAGTTAGCATGTACACTACAAGCAGTATAACTGAACGAAGAACTGGGAATGCAATACATACAGGATGAGATAGAGGATGAAATGTCAGAGCGCAATAGAAATGTAGCTCCTGAAGCTAATGAAGTTATGCATAGTATGACACAATCATTCTTGCCTGCAAGCTGCTTTCCTTACTTGACCACAAACAGTACCACACATAACATTTTTACCACATTTATCACAGAATTCATCCCTAAGCAAGGAAAATGTGACTGTCAGGCATAAGGTAAATTATGGTAGCAGTTCAGAATGATAACTTATCTCAAATTGTTCATGGGCTCCAATTCACTTCCATTATTACCATTTGTTTCCACCCTTCTGCCAGAATGTTCACCCCATTCGCTGCCATACAGTTTCTTGCCTTCACACATGCATAGGAACATTGTGTCTATCACAATCTGAAAATAACAATAGCAAAAACAAGTCACAATTTTCTATTCCCCAGCTAACTAAATGCAGCAGTCAATCTTGAGAAGCAAACAATCACTCATGTGATCAAGAAATTTATTACTCTTTATTGACCATCACAACACAACAAACAGAAAAAATCAAGGACAGCGCCCAGCTGTAGTTTTGCTACACGTTTCAGTCACTAACGGCCATCATCGGGCAAACACATATTAACAAACATATACCATTGAACTGCAGTACATTACATTGGAATTATCTAATCTAATCTAATAATCTAAGGTACTGCAGTTCAATGGCATATGTTTGTTAATATGTGTTTGCCTGATGATGGTCGTTAGTGGCTGAAACATGTAGCAAAACCATAGCTGGGCACTGTCCTTGATTTTTTCTGTTTGTTGTATTGTGGCAGTCAATAAAGAGTTGTATATTGTAACACAACAGGATGCACAAAATGAAAATGCCATAGGTTCATTACCATCTTCATACAATCCTGTCACTGCTCCCAGTCCTAAGCCAGTTGAATTCAGATCACATCCTCTTTGTGTAAGATCCATTTTAATATTATTTCCTTGTCAAGAATATTTGAACATAAAAGAATGATTTTTCTGGAGACTGCAGGAAATGTACTGTGACATATTTGCGCTACGTAGGACAACCCCCCTCCAGCGGTGACATAACAGCATGGAAGCCACTGCCGCTGCTACAGTAACAGGCCAGTCAACACTCTGTCCCCCTCCCCCGTGGTGACGTAACAGGGAACACCGCGGTTGCTACGCAGCAATAAACAACTCTCAGCAGCATTCGCCAGCAACGCCTGTAAACGCGGCGTTTACGCAACAGTGGTAGCTACCATGTAACTGTTTTCTGTGCTGTCAGTGCAGAAGCTACATGACAGGAGAATTACCAGTGTAACCAGTGAGTTGCAATCTAGCAGTTGCCGAGTGCATGGCAGTGACTGCAGGAGAAGTAATTGTGATACTGCAGATGACAGCAGTCGTAAAATTGTAAACTGTATAAGTGTGAGAGCGAGTGCAATAAATTCGCTATATCCAATACAGTGTGAAGTTATCTGTCGCGTGACATATACCCAACATGTGACAGTATAATTAACTACTTTATAATTGTCACTCATTCACTTACCTCCATCTATAATGTAAACACAATGTTTCAATTTTAAAATGTCATTACAATCACATTTTCTATTTATTTGTTGCAACATCAGGTAACAGTTAAGTGATCAAAAGCACTGCACTGCATGGGCTCACATGTCAATATATTTACATGCTATGCATAGATGGAGGTAAGTGAATGAGTGAGATATTGCTATGCCTTACCTCATACAATGAAAGCACTGCACTGCATGGGCTCACACGTCAATATATTTACATGCTATGCATAGATGGAGGTAAGTGAATGAGTGAGATATTGCTATGCCTTACCTCATACAATGAAAGCACTGAGTGGGCTATGAAGTATGAAAATATACACACAACGAGGGTTGGGATTGCATAAAAATGCAAATGAGAGTTCTGTTTCATAATAACCAATCCAATAGAGCCAGTAGCTGCTGTAACAAGACACTTTCCCAGAAATAGGATGAAGTCACCAACACTGTTCAGAACTGCTAAATCCAGTGCATTACTGACTAAAGTATTAAATGCCTGAAACAAAACAAGAAAACAAACAAAATTTGTTCATAACAAAGCTACCAGTGTCACTAAATATAGTACATGGATGCTTCAAAAGTTCTGGAACAGGAACTGTATCTTGAATCCATCAGCATTAAGAAGCTTTGGGCACTTTTCTGTTCAAAATATGGTCCTTCAGTAACTACACACTTCTGCCAGCATTTCGGCAGCTGTTTAAAACATATCTACATGCCATTACATGCAATCTATGGATCTACCTGAGGAGGCCTCATCCTACCACTGAAAATGCCAGTCATCTAAAGTAAGGGTTCCTTCCCATCTTCACCCCTGTCAGACAGGAAGGGGTCAGGATAGTTAAAGGTCATACCTTGGGCCATAACCTAAAACAACTAACAAACAAACTCCATGGTTTTAGTTTGCAAGCAAACTATACTGATGGGGCAACTGCTGCATTTCGGCGTAGTTAGTACCAACTTTAGCAGATAGAGGGTGTTGCGTGGTCAGCGCAACGAATCCCCATGGCTGTTAATTTTGGTTTTCTAGACCAGAGCCACTATTTCCTTGAAATAGCTCCTCAACTATCCTCACAAGGCTGAGTGGACTCTGTTCCAGACCCACAACTTCCCAGAAAGTCTGGTAGCACCTGGAATCTAACCCAGACCTCTGGATCTGTAGCCAGGAACACTGACCACTAGACCACAGTTATTTTTCCTGTGGCGCTACAGCCCCAATTTTGGCCTAGGCCTACCTCCATGAAACTCTCCATTTTACTTCGGTTTACTAGATCTTACACATACAGTTGGACTCATTGGGCGAGTGATCAGCTCATCGCAAGGCCTCTACCTGTAGACAAACATAGAAAAACGCACACAAACATCCATGCCCTGAGTGGGATTTGAACCCACGATCCCGGCTTCCAAGCGAGTGAAGACAGTGCATGCCTTAGACCGCTCGGCTACCGTGACCGGCAGACCACAGTTATGTAGAACCTGAAACAACTACATAAATACAGCATAGTACCTACCCAAATTACTTTTACGCATGTAATTTTTGAGTCCCCACTTTCTGAAATAATTATTATACTGTGAATTGTGGAGTCAGAATAGACAGCCACCACTGCTAGGCAACAGCTTGGTAAACACATCTCCTTGGCAAAAGATAATCACACAACAATACAGGAACTGTTGGAGGTAGTATTGTCTATGTGGTCCATGCCAAGGCTATATACCTGGGAGTGAACCTATAAGTTAGTCAGTTTCATGTCAGAAGGAAGCGCTAGCCTGTGATAGAAAGTGGTAGCCAGGATTGGTGAGACATGGCCAGGAATTGCAGCCATTAGGAGTTGTGAGGCAGTCACTGGTCAGTAAAGCCACTGAACATGGAAGGTGATAATCTACACTGCTGGGATCTGCTACCAGGCCACCACCAGTGAAGACAAACTGAGAAGAGTTAATGCATGCTACAGTGAATGGTAAAATGTGTAGATTCTTGGAACTGTTACAGTTACTTGTAGTTGCAGTTTATAGCATCCAATAAATCCAATTACTCATCCACACCTGGTGTCTAGTCACTAAACATATGACAATACTATCAGATGATCTTAGATACAGGACAGCATATCTTCTGTATGAAAGATTTTAATTAAATATAATTTTTAATAGATTTCCAGATACACATTTTTGATAGAAATCTCTTTCACAAGCATAACTTATCTTTCATCCATCTCTTTTAGGTTCACAGAAGGCTTTTCCGATAAAACTTCCACCTAGTAATAATTCCTTTCCTCCATAGCAGGAAATTGTAAACAAAAGTACTGAACTTCCCAGATGTTCTGCAATTAATACTCTCGTCAATATCTCAAAATTTGCAAAAGTATTCAATTTACATATTTTACAACTTCTTAGATCTTTTTTTTTATTATTTTCTGAAGATCGAGATTTTTTAAATTATGGGAAACTTTAAAAACATCTAATTTTTCAAACGTTTTTGTTTTTGCAAAACTCTTACAAGTTCTATTGCAAAATTCAGATTTTCTTAAAGAAAATGATTTTTAAACTGTTTTGAAAATATTTTTATTATTTCCAAATCAATTCTGAGTTCTTAAAATTTTCTACCTTGTTTAATTTTTAATTATATATTTGACAATAATGTTCCAATTTTTATATCACCCAACATTGTGCAACTAATGTTTTAAATTGTACTGGAGTGTGGCACGAACTACAGTACTCCTGCTGTCCCTACAGAATGTGGTTCTACAGTCAAAATGTCTAATGGTTTGTCAGATTCTGTCATATATAAATAAATACATTTCTTAACATTCTGAATAGGACAAAAATGTACTGAAGTGACCTGGTTTTATACAAGAACAAGAATGTCAATACTGCCCAAGCACGTAAGTGTTCAAAAATGTGTAATGGACAAAAATGGAGGAAAGTGAGGCATAAGAGCTTTTCCAGCAATTCTTTCCCACTATTAAGACTATGAAACTTCACTGTTTACATAACTTCAAAAGGTGTTCAATGTCATACAAAAAACTGTTGTTCCACCCATCTAGTGTAGTAAACCATCTATGCCATGCGAACAGCTTGGAAACCTCTAGAATTATAACTGATCACTACCAAATGACAGAAGCTTCCAATATTTTGTGTATAAAACTTCAGTGTCCAGGTATTTGGAGAATCTTGGTAAAATAACAAAGACCATGACTTCTGAACTCACAACATAACAACTAAATATGCAGACTGTCTGTCTACATTCGTGTCACTTACAATCTTTGCTGAAGTGCAGAAGCTGTAGCCTTCCATTGCTATTACAGTGTAAGCATTGTGGTTAATGAACTTGATAAAATTCTCCAGGCAGTACAAGCAGCAAATGCATGCTCTCATACCACATGATGCACATTCAGAACCTGCATTCTTGTGTTCCCTCAGCCTGCAAAATATTGGTACCATGAACTATCCACTACTAAGTATATTAAAAAAATGCCTAACAGACTTAAAATAATCCCAAAACATGAAGAAAATTACTACCTTATTCTCTGGTAGTAGAACCTGAAGGTTCTGATATTAAAGCCTATCTATGGCCATGATGCTGACGTCCAATTTGTTTCACATGCAACATATTACCATAAAATCCTTTTAACCTTTAAACGCTGGACTTCTGAAATGGTGGTAAGTTTGAGCTGGCCAGAGTTTATTTAAATGCCTGCTCCTGGTGCACGTTTAAATGTCTGTTCCTGTTAGGGTGCTTAAACAATTTTAAGCATTGTGTTTAAAAATGCTGTATCTAACTCAATTTTTATGATAAATGGATGGAATTAACTTTGTTTGTATCAGCAAAGAACATAGTGTTGCATATTATAACAGAAGATTTGAAAATTTTTATACAAAGAGTTATACTCTATTTTCAATTTTTTTTTCTTCTAATTTTGATGTGTACTGCAAAAATGGTTTCCCAGTTCTTCACAAAGTTGTTCTGCATTATAAATTCATTTCTGTTTGTAACACTTGACTAATTTTAGCAGTCCCTGGTGTCATAGTCTTCTGCTAGCACTGCTTACACCCTTCGGATTTTTTAATCTTTTGACTAAAGGACAGAAGAATGAAAGAATGGCTGAAAGATAGAGGGGTCCCTTCTTCAGTGCTAAGACCTTCCGTTATAGCTGCAAGAGATTATTGCCCTTTCTAGGGTTGTGAACAGACAGTTGCAGCGTGGCTGAGATACAGAGTGCACTCTGTTTTCTGTGTGTTCATAGTGAAATCAAATACTGAAATTTAATTTCAGCCTATATATACATCAATCAGATAACAACAAAAAAGGTACGTACATTGAATTTTACTATATATTTATAACAGATTAATCTTTAGAATCTGCAATAAAAGTACTGGCTCATGGATGAGTTTGGGCATAACTCATACGTATATTCTTTTCTGCTGTTGTTCACTTAGGTATCATTTTAATTCATCTATTATGGTTTTACTCAAGTCTGTCTGGTAATTACTACATTTAAAAATAAATATTTAGGACTGTGCATGCACTTCTACTAGCAGCATGTGGGTACGCTTCCACTAGTAGAGTTTAAATGCCCGACTGGCCAAAACGGGGTACTTTGTCCATGACTACCTTACTCATCACTGGCCTGAACAGGGCACTTCAGCACTTAAAAGGTTAATATCACCATTCTTTGTCTTCTACATGTCTAGCCCACCATAACATACTTTATTTAACTACCAGAATAAAACTAGGAGAGTGGTACAAATAATGAAGGCTATCCTCTATTTTCTCTCAGGCCACAATATTTTCCTGAAGTCTTTATTTTCAGACATTTGTAATTTAAGTTCTTTCCTCTGTAAGAAACTATGTTTCAAAACTATATAGAACAACTAGTGAAATAATTTTTACATACATGAATCTTTATTGCTATAGCATGTATACAGGATAATAATCATTTCCAAGAAAGATTTTCCTGAATTGAATATGAACACATTTACCTCTTACAGCTGTATCAGTTAACTGGAAAGCAACAGGGAATTTGAATTTAAAATATATAAAATATGTTTCTTCATGTACAGGCTAAATTTCTGTCATAATTAACTTAAAATGTTTTGGATATTTGAAATTCAGTCATTCTCTACAAATCAAATTACAATTTTTGTAATCTACTGTAGGTACCATATTCTCTAATCACAACAGACCTATACAAAAGAATCACACACACAAAACACGTGCATGAACGCACAATTTAAACTCAGTTACCTTTTCAAAAAACCATGCCACAAAGCCCATTTATTTACTTTGTGTACTGTGAATTTCATACAAGTGCGCACACACACGTCTAAGATCATCAACTTTCGAGTACGCTAGGAATATATGAATCTGGACTATAATATGTTTTCTAAACACTTTAATGACGGCCATTATTGCTCATCTGATGGTGAGACTTTAAGAAAAAATTCTTGTATGTCTAATTGATGCTGAAACTAAAAGAAAATTGCTGTCTATCTAATTGATGCTGAAACTATAAGGATTAATAAAATAAATCTCTTTGTTTAGCACAGACATTAATTATGCTCTCTACCTACTTTCTGTCTATGTACATAAGGACAATCCTTGGAAGTTTGAAGATCATAATGAGAAATGAGCCTTTAGCCACAGAACCCAAGTGATAGCATACTAGCTTGCCCATTGAAGACATCACAGAACCACTTTCTCTGTCCCGACTGAAAAATAAATAAATATATACAACACATACAAATACACACAGAAAGTGTAAAAATAAATAATATGATTATGCTGCAATAAAAGTACAGAATTACAGAGAAACTTCTCCACATGACATACTGTTAAAAAATTTTAAAACTCAAACCACGTGCATCTGGCTAATTTAATATCCTCTGTTACAGAGATTCACAACAGCTGATACTCAATGGCACACAGTCAAATTCAATCCCAGAATTTTGTTTTAAAGTGGAAAAGTAGAAAAATCTGTTCTTCCTTTATGATGAACTTAACATGGGTAAATATGTCTGAAAGTTGGAAATTCCAAACTTTAATTGAAAACCTCCAATATCAGATTTTAAGAAAACTCTCCAATGGCTTAGGTGCTGATACTATGTCACAGTAAGGTACAGATAGATGGATGGACAACCTCTTTCATGAATCTGTCCAAGGATCTCAAGCTTAATATTTTATCAAAATCAGTCCAGCAGTTCCTAAATTGAGATGAAACAGGAAAAACATTCCTTCTGTTTAATTATCTTGAATCCCATAAGGCTTATAAAAAAATGCATTGGACATAATCTGTGTTTTCTTTCTCTACAACTTTGCTTTGAAACACTTTTGCTCTGATGAATATTTGAAGTTGCACCTAAGTTGCACTTGAGTTGCATACAGAAACACATGTAGGTCTTCAGGTAAAGTTATTTTTGTCTCACTTCAAATAAAACTGAAAATAATGTACTCAACAATATCTGATGAAAGTCTCCCATATAAAATTTTACAAGAATCTGTCCAATGCTTTGGGTACTGATACTAGGTTAAATATAGATTGGCAGACATGGCCTCCACATAATCCATTCCTTTTTACTTGTAAGATATGACTAATAATTTTGGAAAATGGAATCAAATTACATCTTACTTGTTAAACATCCAATGTGCCACTGCACCAGCTATCACCATCTGCTGGCAGGACAGGATAAACTCTGAAGTCCAAACCAAACCTATCACGTACAGCCACCACATATACCGTACCCAAGATGGTTTCATCTCAAAGAATGTGAATCCTAAAGGACACAAAGTTTACACTCTCAGACAATAAAATAGGGCCAATAAAAATATTACAGTTACTGTCCAACAGAACAAGGTAGAATACACAGGGTTTCTACTAATCCTAGTTCTAATCACTTGTAAACATATATTTCAAGAATAATTAACTTGTAGATTTTAATATTAGTAATGTTACAGGAATGCCTACTGCCCTATTCTGTATATTTTTCTTACAGGAACAAGATTGAGGATACCAGGGTATTTTGTGCTGGGATAGAAGGATCGGGTCTTGGGGCATACAGCGGTGTCGTGTGTTAAACGATTATATTAGTTCTATTGTTAGAATAATCATTGTATTATCTTAGTATATTAATATAATATTATATTTAAGCATCCTGTTGCACTCTATACGATAAATGATACAAATTCCGTCCCAAGTGCAAACAATATATATTATATGTCTTTGATCTTGTTCTTTCTACACTACATGTTTCGGCCTCTATCGGCCATCATCAGGTGTATACTCTTAACGTTGCTGCCACACTGAACCC